CTTGAGCTTGATAAGATGATCATTCATTGTCTGAAGCTGTATGCAGAAGTCTTTATAAGTCTGATCTTCATCTATACTTATAAGAGTCTGTAAGAGTTCAAAAGTTAATGTCTTCTTGAGTATACTAATCTTTATTCAATTCTCTCAAGATTGATCATCTGCTTCTAAAATCTTGATATTGAAGTCAGGAATAAATGTTGTAAGAGAAGTGTTTCTCTGTCAGATACTCTGTAATTAATCTAATACTTTCTATTATATGACAGTATCTTAGAACAGACTATCAAGATATTTCATGATATTATCAGATGTTTATAATACTGATTCACATGCTTCTATTCATGAATGAAACTTCTGTTTTACACAATCTTTCAATTATTCATTGATATATCAATCTTGATTAGTTAATAAACTGATGATATCTTTATCTACACTCAGTTTTGTGAGTATTTTCATTCTCTATGATAAGTAGAGAGTGAGATCAGAAGTATTGAAATATATAAGAGTATCTAAGCATTCTTTCAGTACTTTTGTATTTGATTCTGTAGATGTTGAAATTATATGAATTAATTATTAAATCTCTTTATATTGACATTGTTAAGTTGCATGCATATCAGCTATTTATTGTTATTATAGTTTTAACATTGCTTAGAGTCACTGTGATACTGTATCTATACTCATGTTCAGAGATTCTCTCATATTATTATTAGACATGATTATATTGTTTGTTGAATGTGTGATATCTATGAAATCTGAAGAAGTATAATTATATGAATATCTCATATATCTGAGTGTCAGAACTCTCAGATCTTTCACTGACATTCTGTTTATAAAATCTTATTACAGAATCAGAGTAACTGATGAGTAAGCTTTTATCTGAGAACTTGATGTTTACTTAACTGTTTGACTGTTTCTCTATTTCTTATATATCATTACACATTCAGATATCTCTTGATGAATAATTGTTCCTGATGAGAAGATAATATATGAATAATCATTTTCTAATAAGAAGAGAATAAACATTTTTCTAGTGTAAGAGATCTACACTGAATAGATCAGTATAATATTGATAGATCTTATATAACAAAGAGAAAAACATTAAAGAAGAAAAAGAAAGAGAAAGTGTAGAAATCAGTGATCAGAATGAATATCTATACATGTATGTAATGATGTACACAGTGAAGCTCTGAGGTGGAAGAATCTATACACATTTATAGCGGCCGAGGATCAGTGATTGAGAATGGCTGAGAATCGGGGTGTACATGTTCAATAGTGAAACAGAAGAATCTATGAAGTGTAACAGAATAGTCTTTATGATTGATCAGACGCAGCCCGCCATAGTTTTCTCTTAATCACAGAAGATCTAGAATGATATTCTCATCTATAATATTAACTGTATGAAGAAGCAGACTGCTCTTCTTGAAGATTTCTTCTGAGTCTGTGATCACACACTTCACTTGAATTATGTTAAAACAGTAACATTTCATTTCATCAGTAAATTTCACATAATCTGACAGATCTATCTTCTTTCAACTCTTCATTAAAGAAAAGAAATAGAATATGAAGTTAGTATTCATCTCAGAGTCAAATAGACATCTCACTAGTATCTTCTCATTCAGAGTATACATTGTAATTGTAACATGAACTTGAAGACATGAGAATTATCAATTCTTCATTTCTTTCTCTTCTTTATCTTCCACAGATACATTTATCAGAAGAGAAGTCAACTTTAAGAAGATATCTTCTCAGTTTCTTCTCTTCTTCAGCTTCTTATAATCACTGATATAGTAATCATCAGCTCTGCAGTTGAAACAGAGATCTTTATTAAATCTTTTTTAATATTTCTTTACAGTGAGTGAAGAATCAGAATACTTGAAATTCTTCTTTACTTTCTCTACACTAAAGTCATCACAGTACTGTTTAGATCTTATTATTAATTACTTAGAAAAGATCTTATTAATCTTTTTCTTAAAGAATTAATTATTTAAATAGATCTCAGAAGTCAGGTTGATAAGCTCAGTATAATTGATTAGTGAACTCTGATATTATAATATTATTATTCACACCTTGTGAGTCAGCTTTGTAAGATAAAGCTGTGTTTTTAATTGATTCAAATCATTGATCAATTTCTCTCAATATTCTTCAAATCTTATATTGAAATCAGAAGAATTCTTATTATCTTATTAATATAATGAGTTGAACTACTGTATCACTGTGAAGTCACAGTTGTAGTAATCTTTAATTTAATTTAGTAGAAAGTTCTTGAATTCTTTCTCAGTCATGATAGTATTAATATACTTAAGCTCTCTCTTCTTGATAACTTAAGTAGTTGCAGAGATATCTTTAAGAAGATTGACAGTATATATTACTTATATCTTATGAGTATTATACTGGCTCAGATTAAGATGAAATTTCTGTTTAAGAATACAGATAAAGCTGTGAAATTCAGACAATGTGTTTCTCTTATATCTTAGAGAATCTCTGATCTTAATCTCTCTATCTTTATAATAAATATAGATGTGTAGAGACTACAGCAGTGATAGAACAGTTGAAGAGCTCATATTAAAATATACAGTGAGTTCAGAAATCTTGAATTTCTGCTGAGATAGAGATATACACACTCTAGAGAATAATGTAGAGTTTCTCTCAGAGAGTGAGATTAAGTCAGTCTTAGTGTAGATATATGAGATTATATCAGTCTGTTAGAGCTTAACTGATTCAAACTTATAATCAGATTAAGTGATTTAAATTGTAATATAATGAAACTGAAGCAGTGACTAGTCAGTGATATTATATAGAGATAGTTATTTAAGAAGCTGTATAAATAAGCTTAACTATCTTGCTTAAATAGTGAGCTCATAGACTACAGAGTTATTACAAGAATATCACAGATATGATATTTAGTATACTAAGAAGATTGTATAAGATACATAGTAACTCTTGTATATATTTCAGTAGAAGAAAAAAATGAATCACTGACTTCTTTAATAAGAAGCTAGTATCTAGCTATTCTATATAGATAATAAGTGAATACTCTTCTTTCATTTTATGAGTAAGAATAGTCAGAGTGATATCTCAGCAGCATCTCACTATTAAGAAAAAGTAATCTGCTGACCTTGTATAGAAGCAGAGTTCTTATATTCATTAATCAGATCTTTCTATAATATATCTGAATAATGTTATAGAGTGATTGAAAACTGATTCAGATGAGATGAAATCATCCGCATGAAAGCAATGAGCTGTGTGAAACCGCAGCAAGGCCTTGGCGCGGTCAGAGGCGTGACAGTTAGTAAGATAGCTTGTGAGATAATCTGATTAAATAATATATTATATAACACTGAGTTGATGAATGATAAAAAAGCAAAAATATGCTTACATCTATAAGTTGATAATAAGAGAGCAATTGATCTAGCAAAGAGAGAATTCTGAATATAAAGATTATATCATATTAAGATTAAATATCATATTCTTCACAATTTAATTAAAAAAGAAGAAATTATAATGAAATATGTTAATTCTACAGTGAATATAGCTGACAGTCTTATCAAGTCACTGATGAAGCCTGCATTTGAAGATTTTATTAAAAGAATTGATTTGAAAGAGATCAGAAAGAAATGATTGAATGATAATAATAATACAGTGAATTAATGAATTTTGTATGTATTTCTTGATTTTTATGATTATTGCTGTACAGATGTCTTTCCTAATGAGGAAATCAGGGTCTGATTCATGTAATTAATTATTATTGCATTTTTGAAAGATTTGGGGATGAGAGAGGCCCCAGGTGGCAGCTTATAGGCCACAGTGTAGCAAGGGGGGGTGTTGGTGATTACTACACCTACCCTAGTCACGTGCCACCCCAACCTATTTAGTGTAACTCGCGTAGTTAGATTACAACAACGTTATCCTCCAAGAATTTCTTGATTACTAAGCAGCCGATTCAACGTTTTCACATCAAGATCTCAGTCGGTTCAACCTCCACGAAGTGCACAGAAAACAAAGACATGGAAAGGGAAACATACTTTGCCATTCCAAAACTGCCAACTCATGACCCCTCTTTTGCCCCTCCGTGCTCTTCTGCTTACACCCGAAAATAATAACCCTCCCCCCACATCTCACTGCCCTTCCCCGCTTCCATTAGCTATACCCTGCCCCTCTCAAAGAAACGAGCAATTTTGATGCCCGACAAGCCCTTCCTCTCACGATCTATGAGTTTCACATATCAATTGGCTTATAACAGTATTGGGTGCCGTTTTCCTTTACGAGGATGGATAGATATTGTTAAGATTCGGTCTGCTCTGGTGGAGCATTCTGCATGCATCCAGTCATGCCTAACATCCTCGAACTTTAATGATAGTACTCCTAAACCCAGCCCCGCGAAGAAGCCGAAAACGCTCTTTTTTTTTTTTTTTTTTTTTTTTTTTAATCTCTCCTACTTAAGTTACACGTCATTTGTCCGAGCTAGCTAGGGGAGGGAAGGTGGGAGGAATGGAGGGGTAAAGTGGATTCTGAACAAGCAAGAAGAGAAGAAGACAAGAAGACGAAGAGAAGAAAACAACACCCCACCACTAACTGACCCCTCTTACATCATGATGTTTCCCTTCACACACCCCGCCCTCTAAACCAGCAAAAAAAATATATACATCATATCTATGCGCATGCCCCACTTATATCCCGATGCATCATCGCTCCAATACTGGTGTGGATATCTCATCTCATTTTCTAGCTACAGGTACGGACACATCATACATGCAGACTATACACGTTTAAGATCGTTTTTTCCATTCAATGCAATGCCTAGGGGTGGGATATTCTGGACTGATGGTTTACGTATTGGCAGCCCTCTTCTGGGCGGGCGGCGTACAGGGAGAGAGTAAATTGAATTCCGTCCGTTAAGGATTCCTTTCCTTCTCCCTACAATCGGCGCATTGCATAGCGTTCGAGATATTTTATCTTTTCTTATTCTTCATTATCTTTTTTTTTCCACATTGCCAAAAGACCTACAGCTGCAGAGATCCGACGTGATGGATGGATGATGTCATGAAAAGACCCGGCCAGACTTCCTCCTCCCAACACGCGTAGATGTAATGTAGATGAATGAACATGTACATTGTACATGAACTGTACACTAGATACATGAAGGACGTATCTGTTCGTCTAGTGCATGTAGGTTCCATTGAGAAGACGCTTAAGTCACACTTCTTTTGCTATGATCGTACAATTTTGTGGAACGGGTCAAACTAAGGGTATCCACCTAGCATGTACTCTTGATGACAGGAGCTGATACTTTGATTACAATGAAAGGTCAACGCAAAGAGGGGAAAAAAGAAAAAGGAGGCGAAAAGAAATCAAGGGAAAGAAAAAGTAAAAAAGGATTCCAAGCAAATCCAGCGCTCGAGCCAACGCAGCAGAGTCACATATAAAACTACAAAACCAGGCCCAATTGAAACATAAATCATAAAAGGCAAAAAACATCATGACCGTCACAATTTTCAAAAGGGAACCAACCACCCATGTGTTCATCTCTCCATCCATTCAATTTGTCCATCCTTGTCACCTTCATTGGCGTGGCGGGAATACCCGCAACCAGGCTGCTGAAACGAACCAACCCGTCATTCTCTCTCCAATAACACACCCATGGCACATCTAATCCGTCCCACTCATGGTCATATCGTGATATCAACCGCCCACCCAAAACACATTCAAACTAACGCGTATAGACCTAACTTCCTCGAATATCTGTGCCCCAAGTAGGTAAATACAAAATAAAAACAAAATGAATGCGGCGGCGTTGATGTCGATATTGTCGCCCAAACCTTGGACAGATTCACTCACTCCCTTCCCCGGACCATCGCCGTTAGCATCCACATCATTATCACTCACCATCATCGTCACGGAAGGACATCTGGCGCCTCCCCTTCGCATGCCTCTTGCTGGTTCTGGCCTTGGTCAGGCTCCGGCTCCTGCTCCTGCAACCGCTGTTGGTCGTCCCCTTCACCAGCATTCCTGTCAATAACGCTAGGATGACGAGAACCAACCTGGCCATCTCCGCCCAGTCAACGCCCTGTACTCATGCCCGTCTCTGTCTGATTCGACGATGCCACACTGCGTCTCTCGCATGGCAGGTGCTGACACAGATCAAGCAACAGACGCACCTTGGGAAGAAGGATCTCCCTGCCATAGCGCAGGATATTGCACATCGCCCTCTGGAGGTCGCGTAGGGCATTCGTGTCGCTGAGGATGTAGACAGATAGCAACTCTGTGTTGAATAGGCGCGTGGGGCTTGTTGATGCAGCTGACCCGCGCTGCTGGCTCTGTTGTGGTTGCGATTGGGATTGGGATTGGGGCTGCTGTGTCTTCATCGCCCGCGACCTGGACCTGCTACTAATCCAATGCACATTCAGCCGCGCAATCTGCTGGTCCATAGTCAGTGAGAAGAACCAGGGCTGCGTGTGGTCGAACTGGTGGGTACCGACGGTACGGCGATGCAGCTCAAGGAGGCTGTTGAGGGATATGGCCGCGGTGCTGCTGGCTTCGTCTGTAGCTGCGTGGTGGGTACCGCCAGTGGCCATGGAAGTAACTTTGACAGCGAAGAAGGGGAAGAAGAGGTTGCCATCGGGACTCGCGTGACTCCTGGCGGAATTAGGACTGAGACTGGGACTGGGACCGGGATCGAGGCTGGGTGGGACGGCCGTTTCGGTGTCGCTGCCAGATGCGGATGCATATGTAGCTGGAGCTGCAGCTGCAGCTTCAGATTCGGTAAGTGTTGGGATTATAGTATGTTGGGCTTGCGTGAATGCATCATGCGAGAAACCATAGGCTTTATCTGGCGCTGGGTCCGGGAGGAAAGGTGCCGTGAGGAAATCAGGAAGAAGGGGAACGGGTACGGACTCGGTCCATGGCTGTTTGATTGAGCAGGCTAATGTGGAGTGGAGAATGTCACCATTGCTGTCATCATCATGATAATGCCCATGGTGGTGATCATGTTCGCGGCCGGGGGTAAGACGATTTCCTAGCTCTTCGAACACGTCCTCTTCTGTAGCATTCCAGAGGTAGCGGGGGAGTTTGGTAAGTTCCTGCAGAGCGGCCTCATCATGCAGCTGGGCATAAGCAGCGGAGGGATCGTTTTCCTCTATAATAATATGCCTAGCCTTCTGCATCAGGGGTTCCGACGGTTCATTGCGGTATATGCAAATTCCGCGATAGTCCAAGGGAGTCTGGTAGCACAGGCTCTCCGATGACGCAACTGAGATGCCAGAAAGGCTCTGAATGGATGAGAAGCAGTGGGGGACGATACTGGCGGACTCGTTGGGGAAGGGTGGGATTAGGATGCCGGTGTCGAGAGAAGGAGTGAAAGGCCAGGATGAGGTGTCTACCCAATGCTCAATTGGGCTGCCTTTCCTATGTACATGGTATTTATTATTGTAGTGATGTTGAAGAGTATCATCGCCATTGTGGTTGCCCGTCAGCTCTATGGTGTCTTCTTCCCCCGGGGAGCCTAGTATTTGATCTGTATCATGGATGGGATGTTAGCGTACAAGCAGTTAGTTACATGGCTTGGATTTAATAAATAGCATGGGGCGATAACAAAAACATGTAACCAACCCATATATTTTGCGGAGGATTTTCAGGTTCTTAGCACCAAAAAGGACTGTACCGTACGTTTTTTTTAAAATAAAAAAATAATCAGTTCCCCAAAGAAAGAAAAGTTCAAGATGATTTATTTTATATAACAGAAAAGCCAGAAATGGTAGACTCCGCTACGTATGAGTTCATATCACCCAGCTTTATTTGAATATAGCCCCCAGCACACCTATATCGGAGAATCCTCTTGTAGATAGATGGTATGGTGCATCCATCTGGTATGTCGTCACATTTCTGTGTGTTGTTCTCTGTGCATCTATAGGGAGTTTTTAGCTCCGTTGGCTATGTATGAAATGCCCGGGCGAACTGTAGGTAGTTGACCTTGACCAACACATGGCACTAGATTTTGTGGGTAGGGATGACCATAGGAGCAGCAACAACTGATATTAATAGGAAGATTAGGCGCAATGCCCTGCTATTGAATTATTAATAGACTGGCTCCTACGATGAGAAATGAAATGATGATGAAAGATGTGTTTGCGGATGATCGAATGGGTCGAAGAGGAACAAACCTCAGCGTCATTCATGTGATGTCTGACCATCCACCAAGACAGCTCTCAATAGTATATAACTAGAGGTTAAGACACAAGCAGACTGGGCAATACAGTCCATATGTGCAGCGAAAGATAGTTGTGTCTTCAGAATAGGAATAATGAAACAGAATTTTTCAGATTCAATTCGCGATTAAAACTCCCCTCTTTAACCATGTTTCTGATTGTGAGGAAGAAAAAGGAACATGATGAGCCATTAAAAAGTATCTGTCAACATCCCTTGATATTCAATCAAATCGTCTGTAACTAACCTTTTGTGTGTGTGTGTGTGTGTGCGCTGCGTAACTACAGCGTACTCTGTAGGCCGTAGCTCTTATAAAACCTCCCCGCTTTCTCCCCACACCATACGTGGATAAACGCAAGCTACTGCGGCTTACACCGCTGGTTTGAACGCCCTGCATAGGCGATTGGCGGCAGATAAATCCAACCCTCAACTGAACAGTTGAAACGTGCTAGACACGCAGAGAAACAGCGCAGAAGCAGGCGCCGGTCTGCGGTACCTTAAAAAAAAAGCTTTCTATTTGTGGGGGAGACTCAGTCGGTTTGTCCCAAGGCTGCTTTGGACGTTGCCCTCAGCAACTCAGCAACTCAGTAGGAAATAAACGTGAAGTTGCGGGAAATGTCAAGAGTCCTGCAGTGCCTTTCAACTTGAACCTGTCGCAGAAAACCCGTCGCAGGGATACCCGTCTCAGCTTCCGAGCCAATCATCGCACTTCAAAAGATTATTTCGCGGCTTCTTTTTCCACTCACAAGAACTGTGATAACTGCATATCAGACTGAGTAGATCGAGCTAGGCCCGTGTTTCGCGTTACACCGCGGGTTGTGCTGGTGGGTTTGCTCGATCGATTCGACTTTTTACTTGCAGGTTAGATTTTTCCCTCGATTAGATTGAACATGCGAAGGAAGTTCAAGAGCATTCGGGAAACCATCCTAGTGCCATTTTAAAATTAACATTCAACACCATCTCAAAGCCGCTATCAATTGAGCAAAAATGAGAAAACATCATCACCTTCTAGCAGCAGCCTCGACGAAAGCATACCACTCAAACGTCAGAAGATCCCGACTAACTCCTTCAAGCTAGCCAGGTGATGCAACTTGGGTGAAACTTCCCTCCTCCGTTCCGCCCGCTGCAGACTGTTGAATCCAAGCCCGCAGGCTGGCTGCACGACGCAGAGGCCCTTTTCCCCGAAGAGCCCCAGACGGCGCCCGCTTTCCGGGCGGCCTGCAAGGTTCGGAAGTTACGACCGCACAAAATGAATAACCCGGAACCATAGCTTTCGTGGCAAGCTCATGTTTGAGGACGTGTTCTTGTGAAAAAAAGCTGGGTCCATGGGTTTTGAGTTTGTTGGCAAGTTCCTATGCCTATCTTTATTTTAATTTGCTACCAGCCGATTTAAAATCAGTTGGAAGCAGCGAATTCGATGAAAACTGCTCCCTTTCGCTAGTTTAGTTTGCTAGGTCATTCAATCGTAATGTGACTATCATGGTAAACGCCAAGTCCTAAATCTTCCTGAGATTTTCAGTATCTGCGGGGAAATAATTGGGAGAGGCTGGTTCGTGTGGGGGATAGATTTAACCCAAATAACTAAGAGTTAAGTGATGGCTCTGTCCTCCGTAAGCGCGGGAGGAAAGACAAGAAAAGAAAAGAAAAGAAAAAAAGGAGTAACAAGACCAGTCAATCTCGACTGGCCTAGGAACCTGTTAACATCTCTTCTCGTGGTCGCAGTTATTGTGTGTCTCTGGACGGACTCTGCCCCATGGAATAATATGCAGCTGCAGGCGTTACACATCGCAGAAGGTCGTGGCGATTGGTGCGGCGGATAGGCGTACAATGCCATTGGAGATCCATCTGTTGGGACATCACGGGGCGAGAGCCAATCAAGCCGAGGGAAATGTACTGTACTATACTCCGTACTATGTAATGTACATGTACATGTAGATGTCATTCCTGTTCCTTTTGGAGTCACGGCGTGCCTTAAGGTAACTGGAGTGTAATGTATGTGCTCAGTGTAGTTGCTGGAAAATAGGTGGTGTCCTGGCATTTTGGAAGGTCAGTTGGCAAACATTGATTGAGAATAAGCTACATAATAATGATCATATTAGTTACCTGGGGAGTTAGATAAATATGGGGAATGGAAGTTATGCTAGCTGGAGGTTGAGTTGGCGGCGGAAGGCCGAAACAACCAGTTCAACTCGCTGACTAGTGACTTAACTAGTTAAGTTAACTAGGGATGAGGGGTGAATCGATTGTCACAGTCAACAAATCCATCATCAGTCCCTCCCAGATTGAAATAATAATCACAATATATGCAAATTCCTCAAAAAATAAAAGTGAAAATAATTATATAAAAACCACAATAACCATCTATCTTCATTTTCAAACAGCTCCCTTCCTTGCCTCCCTGATCGGAAGCCCAATCAATTGATACTCCTCCCCCCTGTAGTTACCCTCACTGATCTGAATTTGCGGGACTTTGCCCTTGCAGCCTCGCAGGCATCACATCACAGCAAAGGTCTCACTGAGGGCCATGAAGCCGAAGTCTAGCCTGGCCTAATGTCAAATGACGGTTTGTTTTCTTTTAGGCTATAATACCCCGAACCAGGGCGACCCCAAGGCGATAATATACTACTGGCCTGACTGACTGCAGGTCCGTCCGTCAGGCTCAAATCCCAATCCCAATTCCAATTCCAATTCAGTTCCACTAGGAGCAACAACAACGGCACCAGTCAGAATTCAAACAATAGAAAGGGTGGCCATGCACTTTTGATAGAATCATGCAAAAGTGTCAAAAGCTAGGAAGGAAAAAAAAATGTTGAATGAATTGAAACAAGGACAAAACCCGAAGATGGAGGACCGCTATGAGATGGGGCTCTGCCTCTGCCCCCGCACTACTCTACTGCCGTTCAAGTGTTCAAAAATATAAATAAATCATCGGAAAAAGGAAAAGACAACCAACCAACCAACCAATCATGGTCACCAAAACTCTTGCCCGGGGTAGCATGAGCTGATTGGCATATGCCAGATGCGCTGGGATCTGTGCCACTGTGCCACCACTGTACTGTGCCATTGAGCAATGAGCAATGAGCAATGGGCAATGGGCAATGAGAAAGGAGAAATGAGCATGGGGTATTTTTGGGCGGATGAGAGATGGGGAATAAGAATGGAGAAGAAATGGAACTACTCAGCAGCTTCCACGTCGGGCAGGGCTGTATCGTATCATATCTGTATGGGTGGATGGATGTTGGATGTGGGGTCGGTTCGATCCAGTGCTGCACGAACTGACCTGTCCCATAGATGCATATAACAAGGATATATATGGTAAATATAAGGTGGATAAAAGAAAATAATTGAATGAATTAGCAAGGGCAGCCAAAGACTTCGCTTTGTCCAGGGAATAGAACAAGAATTCCGAGAATGATCTTAAACGGAAAACACCAGCCTGGTACGCCTCACCGGGGAGCTGGCACCTCGACAAGTAGCATCAAAAGAGCTTCAATACGTAGTAGAGGTTCAAAGGAGGGGGAAACAAGCGGTGACCCCTTAGCGCCTGTAGGTAATAGGTACATCCCATAACTACATCCCATACCATACGGAGTACCCACATGTGTTTTTGCTGCCCAACAAAGACGCCGACAAGAACATCACTTTGGTCACTTTGGAAACCATCAACGCCCAATAGTTACCAAAAGCCCAAAACCCAAAACCCTCATCCAGGCAGTAGCAGCCAGCCCTAGCCCAGGCCCAAACGCAGAACCAACATCCAGCACATTCTGTACTCCGTATGTACAGTACATGTATGTACATACCATCGATTCATAGCAGCTGGGGCTAGCTCCATCTCTCGACGGGTATTTCCCTGCAGCGGAACACAAGGATTTCGAGAATTGACATTGTACCGTACCTCCACTGCTCACGGCCCTTTTCCAAGCTGACAATCCCATTAGTTACGCGCTGGCTACGGGCTTGCTCCCCGTTGTTCATCTGTTAGAGAGTAGAGTACATGCGAGGTACACGTACATACATACAACTCCCGTACACTTCATCCTGCATACATCCATACATATATCCATACATATTTAACTACAACTACTGGGTAGCTACATCCGCACCCCAGTCGCCGCCGCCGCCGCCGCCGCCTTCGTCTTATTCCCACCAGGCACGCCATCTGTGCGCTCGCTCCTCCTTGTCAAGTCGTCTCAGTTGAACATGGATATTTGACAAATTCGCGGCTTAATATTTTTTGTATGTATCACGGTGCTGTATACTCCGTATGTATTTTGGAATTGCGGTTTCAACCCGCCCGGCCAATCCCGTCCACGTCTTCTCTTACCCCGGAGGGTTGTAGTAGGGCGGGCCATATTTTGTTCGCGTTTCGCTGGTATGTCATAGGCGCATTCTCATGTTCTCCAACCATTTGGGGCTATTGTACTGTAGCTGGTAGCTTCGTTTCTTCTTCTTTCTTCTTTTGTCTTTTTCTTTTCTTTTTTACCCTTTCTCATTTTATCCCGATCATTCCCTCTTCTTTCTTCAGTTTCTTACCTCTCTCTCCCTCTCGGTAAGTCGCTGATTGACTTCCCCCGGATGATGTTCTGATGGTCTTGTGGTGAAAGAACGCGGCGAATTGGGATCGAATATCAAATATCAAATACATCGTTTCTCCCATCTCCCATCTCCCCCATCTCCACTGTCTCCTCTCCCTCCTTTCGTTCTCTCTGTACAACAAAAAATTCTCTCATTTCCTGTGACCTTGTTTCTTCCTATCCGCTTTCTTCTTCATCCTGTTCAACTAGTTACAAAAACACCTACCTACCTTTATTCCCCTTCGGTTTGGGATTATCTGGTCGGGAGGCTGCTGAAAAATTCGAGAAAAACTAAACAAACCTCTTTAATTTTTCTTTTTTTGCCCTGCCATTCTTCTTCCCAAAAGCTCTGTGAACGGACGGTCTTTCAGGAAAAAGCAGAAGGGGAGGAGAAACAGAAACGAGCCCCCCACCCACTTGTGACACCTCGATTGCAGTCGTCGATCGATCTTGAACCGATCTCACTCTATATCGATCTCGCTGTACCAACAAAGCAAACTATAATAATTCCCCTACTATAGGACATAGAACGGCGAAAGGAAAAAGAGAATAGAACAAGAAGGAAAGGGAAAGGAAATAGGAAATAGGAATTAAAGAAAGAAAGAAAGAAAGAATAAAAACAAAAAAACGCAAAAGGGAATGCAACGACGTGGGTACGAATATATTTGATATATCCCCACGAGACCACAAAAAACAAAGTGTGTATATGTTGTTCATGTATGTATATTGTTGAAGGTTGACCTGAAGACATGCAAATGCAGCAGCAGCAGCAGCCGTGCATCTATATAGCACTGTGGGCCATAGTTAACTCTGCTGAATTTTGCTTGACCAGACCCTAGTTCCGGAGAAATCTGACTCGAACTCGAACTCGATTTCCTTGACCGAGATAGAGAGAGAGAGAGAGAGAGAGAGAGAGAGAGAGAGAGAGAGAGATAAGGTACTTGGCAATCCTGCGTGAGTAACATTCTTTCATTATTCAATAATAATAACATATCCGGTGTTTTTCTCTCTCCCTTGTCCTCCATTTCCTTCCTCCCGCCCTCTTTCCGCGGATAGCAAGCAAGCACGCAAGCAAGCAAGCAAGCAGCCAGTTAGCCCGGGAGATGGGATGACATGTGTGTGGATGTGACTGGGGCGGGGGAATTATGATTAAGGAACAACCCCCTTGGTTCTGGTCTCGGTGATTTGACTGTGGGCTGGCTGGCTAGTTGTAGCGGTGGCTAGTTAGCAATAGTCCCGCGTTCGAGGGGTTAGGCCCAAGAAAGAAAAGAAAGAACAGAAAGAACAGAAAAAAGAAAAAAAGACACACCGCCAACTGCGCCGACTGGACTTGGACTTGGGACTGGGACTGGGACTGGGGGGGCGTTGTTGGTTGTTTAGTCATACTTCCACCTCGGCCTCTGCTCTCCTCTCATCTGCCACTTTCTGCCTCTGCCTTCCTCCCTCCTATCCGCATCCTCTCTCCCTCCTCTCCCTCCTCTCCTCTCTCAACCTCCAACCTCATCTCATCAACTCCCCCCTCCCCTCTCTGTCGCTTCATTCTCCCTCCCCTCCTCTCTTTTCCCGCCCTCTGCGCTCGCTTTTTCTTTGCCAATTGCTGTTCTCCCTACCCTCCTGCCCTCCTGCAGACAGCTCGCGTTCCCCTCTCCAAATCTCCCCTCCCCCGCTGCCGGGGTTTTCTGCGCTCTTTCGCTTTGGGTTGCTCTCGTTTGTTCTCTCTGCTTTCCCCACTCACCCCCGCCTTCGTTCTCTGACATGTTCATTCTTCCTGCGTCCGTGTAGTCTGTGCCACCCTCCATACACACACGCACACACACATACACGCACACGCACACTTACACATAGCGCGAGAGAGAGAAAAAGAGTGAGTGAGAGATATAGACAAACGCACATAGACTCGCCCCATATTATACAATGGCTTTCAAGAACGGTCTGAGCGAGCGTCTTGAAGAGCTCCGGTTTTCCTCCCCTCGCTCTCCGCCCTCCGACTCGCCTTTCTCCAGCTACCCCTCGCCCACCAGGGGTCAGCCTGCCAGCTACATCTCCGCCTTCCACCCGCCCTCAGATGTGCGCGCAAACCTCCAACGTCGCTTCACCACCGACGCCAGCAAGCTTTCCTCATGGCCCGCCTTTAACAATACCCAGCCCCTGCCTTTCCCGGAGTCTTTGGACTTCCTCTCCTCGGTGAGTTGAGCTGCTGCTTGTGTTGTTGTGTCATTGTTGTCGTTGTTATATTTCACATCTGTTGTTTGGTTGGGGGGGAACTGGTGGGGGAGTGGTGTGGTGGGATTGGAGG